GTGTATCTTTGCAGCAAGCGAAATACCACTTCTTGGGTGCATCGTTGGTAAGAACGGAGTACGTCCTGATCCCTAAAAGATCAAGGCGATCACCGACTGGCCTGTGCCGGTTGATGTCAGAGGTCTTCGAAAATGCCTTGGGCTAGCGGCGTATTTGCACAAGTATTCACGCAATTACGCCGAGATGACTGTACACCTCTCTCGTTTGTTGAAAAAGAACGAGAGGTGGTTATGGAACGCTGAATGTCAGCGCTCCTTTGATGGTATCAAGCAGAGCTTGATACAATCCCCAGTCCTAGCAATTGCCGATCAGGACATGCCATTTCATGTGGTCTGTGATGCCAGCGATTTCGCAATCGGTTGTGCATTAATGCAGTACGATCTTGAAGGCGTTGAACGCGTCGTCTGCTGTCAGTCGCATCAGCTGCAACCAGCTGAGCGGAACTATCCAGTGCATGACAAGGAACTCCTTGCCATGAAGTATGCACTCGCGAAGTTCAGAGTCTATCTATGAGGAGATAGACCCTTCATTGTTTACACTGACCATGCGTCATTACGCACGGCAGTGAACAGCCCGCACCTTTCACAACAAATGGCGCGGTGGTTGTCATTCTTTGCAGAATACAACTTTACGGTCGAGTACAAACCAGGATGACTCAATGTCGTCGCTGATGCACTCTCACGTCGTCCCGACTTTGAAACAGTCGTGAAACCCAACAGTGAGACAGTCACTGTTGCGGTTATGACGTCCTCAGTCCCATCTTCAACGTTGCATGATGATGTGAGGCGGGCGTACGCCCAAGATGGTGAGATTGTGAAGTTGTTGACACATCTCTCACAGCCATCTCGAGAATCGTTGAAACGATTGTCGTCTGCGTATCAATCTGCAATAGATCGATACACTACTCGCAACGGTTTACTGTATTATACAGCCGTTACTGGTGACACGCCACGTGTTGTCATCCCAGATGATACTGATCTGCGTTTGCGGATCATGTTCGAGTATCACGATGCTCCTAGAGGAGGACAGCGTGGCCGGGAGAAAACATATCTCACGGTGAGTCGAGACTTTTACTGGCCCCGCCAGTATCAGTTTGTGCGCAAGTAGGTTCGCGCATGCGAAGTCTGTCAACGAGTGAAGTCAAGTCCTTCACTGCGTGCACCTTTACAGCCTCTACCAGTTCCGGCTGAGTGCTGGGAATCCATCTCAATGGATTTCGTCTTCGGGTTACCCAAAGACGCTCACGGGAATACGGGTATTCTCGTATTTGTTGACAGATTCAGCAAAATGGTACACCTTGTGGCTGTACCAGAGTCAATCACAGCAAGTGGCTGTGCTTGTGTCTTTATCGACACCATCTTCCGACTTCATGGGTTGCCCCGTGAACTCGTATCAGACAGAGATCCACGATTCACTGCTGATTTCTGGCGTTCCGTGTTCAAATCACTCGGAACGCTCTTGAAGATGTCGACATCTGATCATCCAGAGTCAGATGGTCAGACGGAACGAGCCAATCGTGTCATCGAAGAAATGCTTCGAGGATGCGTTCACTCCTTTAAGAGTTGGAGTGAGTTCTTGCCAATGGTAGAGTTTGCAATTGACAACTCGGTGCATGCGTCCACGACACATACACCGTTTTACGTGAATGGCTTGCGCCATCCGCGTGTACCCATCTTACTAGAGTGTAACTCTGTTTAAGGGGGGGAGGGACTCGCGCGAGCAAAAACCGATTTGGTTCACGCTCATCACGCTCTGACGAAGAGGTCATTGCGTTTGATGCCGATATCGATCACATCGATATCGAAGAAGATGATGTCAGTGAGAGTGCGGAAGCCCTCACTGAAGAAAATGTTGATGCTGCTGCAGTGCACTCACAGCGCACTGAAGCTAACGAGTCATCAGATGAATACATACTAGCTCGTGAAACGGTAGTCCGTTTTCGTTTTGTGCAAGACTCAATCGCCGAAGCGGTGGATAAGCAAAAGCAAAACGCTGACAAGAATGGAAGGGCAAACGCTCTTTTATTTAATAAAGGTGACTTAGTCCTACTGTCTACGGTTAATCTACCAAAGCATGTAGTGACTAACTCGGGTAGCAGTAAACTACTACCCAAGTACATCGGTCCATTTCGTGTATTGCATCGCCTAGGCAATGCATACACGATCGAACTGCTACGTAAGATGCGAACGCATCCCACGTTTTACGTTGGTCGGCTTAAGCCGTACCATCAGTACGCTGCTTCTTTCGATGAAGAACGCCCTTGCGCTCAAGCATCTCGCAGAGAGCCTTGTGCTCCCGATGGTGGGCAACGACAAGGGTCTGAAGAGCAGTTATATCAGCCCGAGACCGATCAACAATCCCACGAGCTACCTTAGCTCGTCACGCAGAGACGTCAGATCTCTCTCGTTCTCAAGCTGAGCAAAGGCAAACTCAGCTCGATGCTTCAAGACAGTGTCCGCCATTTGGAGACGCCTGTCCCGCTCATGTTCGAGATCGCCGCGTAACCCTTGCGTTACGCGATCAAAGAAGCTCTCGGGAACACACGCTTCCCCACGATCGTGTGGAGAGCGTCTTCCCTCCACCTCCACCTCCATTAGAGAACTCTCGCGGTGGCCAGCGCTATCGGGTTGAGCAGCTGTTGAACCACCGCGACGTGAACGGACGTCGGACGAGTTACCTCGTCCGGTGGCGCGGTATCCCCCGTCCTGGGATACTTGGGAGCCCCGCTCCCAACTGATGATTGACGTACTGGGTCTGGTTGAGCAGTACGACGCGGCACACCCTGTGCCGCAGAAGGACCGCCGGAGAAATTCTTCCCGGCACGGTCGTAAGAGAATTTCAGGTTGTCAATCCCTTCGTACATCTCACTAGAGATACGTACGCGCCACCACGGGACGGTGAGGAGGTAAGCCTACTTAGTTGCGCGCGCTGAGTTGTTTACACAACAAGGGCACGGGTCTCCCCAGTAAAGACAGGGTAACCCACTCTCCCTAGACAGACGATGCAGCTTGTAGCGTGCACCTGTCGAGGTTCGCTTTTCAAACTTATCACGAGCTTTGATAAGTTTGTCGTTCCAAACCTTCCGACTTACGTCCTCAAGTTTATGGATGTACGCGTTCCACGCTTGAAGCAGTGAGGGACCATCACGCTTGTGATTCCCACTAAACCATCGATGTTTAAAGAAAGCATCGATGAAGAAATCATTCTCAGCGCGATAGTTTTTCGCACTGGGGTCAAGATGATGGATCCTTGACGAATCGAACTGCCGTGTTCGATAACGATCACTCGTCGTCGCCGACAAGTGATCTATGACGGATTTGGGAGGCATCCATGCCTTCTTCTCAGGGGCGAGACGCAAGACATTGCTGTCCCGCTCTTCCTGCGATGTGCCGACAGAAGTACTGGCACCTCGTTGCGAAGTGGTGTCAATAGGAGAACCGACACCACTATGAGCGCCCGAGTCTCGCGACCTCGAGCGCCTTCGCTTCGGCGATGGTTCATCTGATTCATCAGATGAACCAAAGATGCTGCGACGCAAAGCATCGTCCATGCCACGCTTGGCAGGCGCTTGGATTCAATCGCCGTCGATACGGATCCGTCATCCGTATCAGGAGAGTATGAGACACCGAGCTCATACTTTGTGAAGACATGAGTGTCTTCATGACCAGCGTCTGCATCACCAGGTGATACAGACTGAGACGCTATGGCAACCGATGAGACATCAGTTGCTGCGGTTTCTGCTTCGGAGTCTGCACAGAGACGTGCAGACACGCTCTCAGCTGCCTTGTTCGCGCACCGCATGGGCTTGTTTACCATGCGATGAATTGTTGGACTGTGGATTTAGACCAACAAGTGCAAACCCCGTCCCAAATGATTTGGGACGAGTAATCCATTTAGTCAATCAGTCACTTTAGTGACTGATGGTTAAGGGGGGGGATGTAACGGTGTGAATCGTTACACAACAATTTATAAGAAATTGTTAATAGAATATAACTGTAAGAGTTAAATTCTCAGAATATTGTCATAAGGACGAATATTCTGTAGCACTTACGAGTAGTTCCTAATTGGTTGATATATGCCATTGTATCAACCAACGAAGACGCGCCACGACAGACGCACGCAATGAGTGGTGAGCAGATAGTTGATATGCACATTTGCATTCAGACATATTTAGATGAGGAAAAACAGTGGTTTATTAACAGACATTAACTGTGATAAATAATGTTCTACCTTTTGCTTTAACCAAGTACTCGCTTCTTCTTACCGTCTTCCTCAGCACGTACGAGTATACGTGAAGATCCGAGGCACCGCCTTATTCTGTCGTCAGAACAAGTAGCTTGTACTGTCATCAGTACAAGCTTCAGGGTGCCCCGTTACAATGTGACTATCTCTTTTTTTATGATTTTCGAGGGCACCACCATCGTAAGCCTTTTTCTATTTGAAGGTTGATTGCGCTGTAAAGTAGAGGCACTGCATTGAAAGATTAGGATTTTATCTTTTTTTTTCTAGGGTGTCCGCGTAGTAAGTTGGGGGTGGTCTACCTTGTCAGTCCCTTCTTTTGTTTTCTCAATATCTAGTATGTTTTTTTTATTTCCGAAATTGAACGGGCCATTTTTGTTATCTGCCCTCATACCTTTTATTTTGCGATAATCTAGAGCATTTTTCGCTCGATTGAGCAATGCTTTTTTGGTTTTCATTTCTACTTTTGTGTTTAAATGGGACTTTTTCATTTTTTTTTGAAAACACTAGTATCGAAAAGTGTGAGAAAGAAAAAATCGAGTCACGCAAGGATAGAATCCGTGACACTGTTTGCGGTGATCACAGTACCTAACAGGTGAGATTTCACTTAGAATAAAAATAAAATGAACTCGCACAAAGTTAATATTGATCAAAATGCTCATTTATTTAAAAAAATAATTACGTCCAGTCATTCCCTCAATCCATTGCGCCATACGGGGTTTCACGTACGCAACTCGTTCGGCCTTACGCGCCTTTCACCATGCGCATGCTTCGCATTTGGCCAACGGCTTTTTGCACCTGGCTCTCGGTCTTGAATAGAGATGATAACCAAGCATATGCTACTGCTGCGAACACCGCTCAAACACGCCTTGACGAAGCCACGCCCGACTACAAAAGTTTGCATCCACGCGACCCGTCATCACTCAACACGGTCAAGCAAGTCTTGAAGTCGGGTTTTTATGCGGGGAACAAGACCGTCCCCGATATCACCGTGAACGATGATCGGATGGGCACTGATCTGAAAGAGTTGGTGGAACTTTTGGTGTGCAACGTCATGGCAGCCGCTAGGAAAATTGGGATCCGTCTGCCTAAACAATTCCGCTTTGCCCGTAACGTGAGACCTGTGGAAAATCCAGTTGTTGGTATTCCTATCCGTGAGAATGAGAAAACTGCGGATCTTGAGACTGCGAATCATGAGACTGCGTTCAGTGAGACTGCGATTATGGAGACTGCGACCCAACCCTTTCATCAAATTTCGGATCCTCGAATGTACCACGGAGATCTCGAGGGTGACAAGCGGAACTTTGAACGTACCGAGGCATTTTGGAAACACGACAAAGATAATGAAGTCATCGACGCGCCGAAACTAGGGAAGTTGTTGGAGGCTAATAAGAAAGCATCGGGATCGAAGCACGTTGAACCGGACGAAGTCATAATTACCATGTTGCTCTCTAGAAGTCCACTGGATGTAGTGACGCTACTAAAATCGCTTCGTGAGATTAAGGGCATGGAAGGTGAGGCCGACGCGTTGCACAGGCGACTACTTGTGATCCTTAAAGATTATCCAGGCGTGGTGTCTTACGCGTGGATGGAGTCGGAATATCTTCCCGAAGAGCTTTTTAAGATCGTCCGGTTGGATGGAACGATAGACTACGATGAAACATCAACCTTTCTATCAGAGTGGCTATGGTACATTGGCAAGTACAGCGAAACACACTTACCTTCATTTCGCGTAGAACACGCAGTAAAACTTCTATTTCAAAGCAAAGGCGATGAATACGTGAACGCTTTTTTCGATGGAATCAAAAAAATACCTGGACGTGAGAAACTTGCCGATGAGCTGCTTGAACTTTGCGTCAAAGTTAAAAGCTCCCCAACCTGGACGAAAATCTATGGCACAGCAAATGCATATTTGCAGGGATACATTGAACGTCAGCAGTTCGCTGAGAGGTCGAGTGACGGAATAGTCGAGATGAAGAGGTATCTTGATCTGGAAGAAACACCTACTCAGATTGATTATTTACTCGTGGAGATGGCGTTATCGCTGGAGGAAAGCCCACTGCGTATCGTGAAATATCTGGTGGAACTCTATGAGATCGGGGGGGCGTATAACGTGGTCGCCGGACTGCACACACTGCTACTTGCACACTACAGGATTGACTCAAAGGCGATGTGTCACGCATGGATGGAACTGAAATTGCACCCACAATATGTTCTCGATATGCTTGTTTTGAGTATGGATCAGCTAAACATTGAATTAGAACTGGTCGTCGTATCGGTGTGGTTAAGGTACGTTGACCTGTACCGAAAGAAGTACCCGCGAGCTTATAGTGCCGAAGACGCGTTGAAACATTTGTTTCGCAACAAGGGAGCCGTAGAAGTGGAGAAGATTATTGGAAAGATCCCGGATGTCGGTAAAAATAAGATGGTCAAAAGACAGCTGCTCAAACTATACCATGCCGCTGTGACGAATGAACAGGATATGGATACGAAGAGTCGGTTCTACAGGCATTTGAAGGATTGGTTCGAGAGGTTATTCGACGCCCATTGGTTCTTCAGGCATCTGAGGGATTGGTTCAAGAGTATATTTTAAGTAAGCGTCGTAATGAGTAAGTCGATGATGTGAATGTGCATCGGATACAGTAGGCTTAGAGGTAGCATAAGTACTATGTGAACTAAGGACCTCTTAAATTACATCATTTTCCACATTTTACCGCTCAAACGACATTCGCTAAGTACGAAGCTCGACTGGCCGTCGACGAAATCTGTAGTCGACTTCAAAGTATAGATAAGGGGAGGCTTAACGTACCGGTCGCGAGTAGGTCATTTTATCGGCGATGTCGGCCAAATAAAAATGGCCGCGGACCGTAGCACAGTCCTTTTGAGTCCTGGCAGATGTCAGTTAGAAATGAACAATTTGTGTAATCATTTGACTTATCCTCTCTCTCATATCAATTACCAATTTTCAATTTATGAAATCATCTGATTTGTCCATCAGAATCAAAAGGGGGAAAGGGGGAGTGACAAAAAATGTGGGGCACATGGGAAGGTAAACTCACATCCCTTTTATAGGCCACCACTCCTCTCTTGTATCCTGCACAGTACAATTGTATATAAATAGTGCTATTTGGGTCGTGCTCTGTGATCCCGCTGATCACCCAAGCACGAAAATCGTTGTGTCTGCGTAAAATCCTGTCACGGATAGTGACGATACAGAATCAATGATAGAATTTTAGCACGCTAGCGATGATAGAATTTAGCGTTGCGTGGACACGATGACGAGACGAGTACTGGCATAATTGGTCTTGTGATGTCGTGGGTATGCGTTTAGTGTCACGAAGAATACGAATCGGTATAAAGCTTTCCTTGGCACGAGTATTTTATTGCTAATTGTAGACCGTGAGTTGAGATGTAAATCTGCGTCCGTCAGTTGTAATGGGGCACCCTGAAGCTTGTACTGATGACAGCACAAGCTACTTATTCTGATGACAGAATAAGGCGGTGCCTCGGAGCTTCACGTACACTCGTACGTGCAGAGGAAGACGGTAAGAAGAAGCGAGTACTTTATTAAAGTAAAAAGTAGAACTGTATTTATAATAGTTAATGTCTGTCAATAAATCACTATTTATCCTCATCTAACTATGTCTGAATACAAATGTGTACATCAACTATCTGCTCACCACTCATTGCGTGCGTCTGCCGTGGCGTGTCTTCGTTGGTTATTACAATGGCCTATATCAACCGATTAGGAACTTCTCGTAAGTGCTACAGAATATTTGTCCTTATGACAATATTCTGAGAATTTAACTCTAAAAGTTATATTCTATTAACAATTTCTTATAAATTGTTATGTAGCGGGTCACCCCGTTACATCACCCCCCCTTAACCATCAGTCACTTTAGTGACTGATTGACTAAATGGATTGCTCGTCCCAAATCATTTGGGACAGGGTTTGCACTTGTTGGTCCGAGTCCACTTCCCAACATTTCATCGCATGGTTAGCAAGCCCATGCGGTGCGCGAGCAAGGCCGCCGAGAGCGCGTCCGCACGTCTCTGTGCAGACGCCGAAGCAGAAACCACAGCCACTGATGTCTTATCGGTTGCCGTAGCGTCTCAGTCTGTATCGCCTGTTGATGCAGACGCTCGTCATGAAGACACTCATGTCTTCACAAAGTATGAACTCGGTGTCTCATACTCTCCTGATACGGAAGACTGATACATATCGACGGCGATCGAATCCTAGCCGCCTGCCAAGCGTAGCATCTTTGGTTCATCTGATGAATCAGATGAACCATCACCGAAGCGAAGGCGCTCGAGGTCGCGAGACTCGGGCGCTAACAGTGGTGTCGGTTCTCCTATTGACACCACTTCGCAACGAGGTGCCAGTCCTTCTGTCGGCACGTCGCAGGAAGAGCGGGACCGCAATGTGTTGCGTCTCGCTCTCGAAAAGATGGCCTGGCTGTCTCCAACGTTGGTCATGGATCGCTTGTCGGCGACGACAAGTGTTCGCTGTCGAACACGGCAGTTCGATTCGTCAAGGATCCATCACCTTGACCCCAGTGCGAAAGACTATCACGCTGAGAATGAATTCTTCATCGATGCTTTCTTTAGACATCGATGGTACAGTGGGAATTACAAACGTGATGGTCCCTCACTGCTTCAAGCGTGGAACGCCTACATCCATAACCTTGAGGATGTAGGTCGTGAAGTTTGGAACGACAAACTTATCAAAGCTCGTGATAAGTTTGAAAAGCGAACCTCGACAGGTGCACGCTATAAGCTGCATCGTCTGTCAAGGACGAGTGAGTTACCCTGTCTCTCTTGGGGATACTCGTGCCCATGTTGTGTAAACAACTCTGGGCGCGCACCTAAGGAGGCTTACCTCCTTACCGTCCCGTGGTGGCGCGCACGTATCTCTAGTGAGATGTACGAAGGGATTGACAACCTGAAATTCTCTTACGACCGTGCCGGGAAGAATTTCTCCAGCGGTCCTTCTGCGGCACAGGATGTGCCGCATCGTACTGCTCGACCAGACCCAGTACGTCAACCATCAGTTGGGAGCGGGGCTCCCAAGTATCCCAGGACGGGAGATAGCCGCGCCACCGGACGAGATAACTCGTCCGACGTCCGTTCACGTCGCGGTGGTTCAACAGCTGCTCAACTAGATAGCGCTGGCCACCGCGAGAGTTCTCTAATGGAGGTGGAGGTGGAGGGAAAACGCTCTCCACACGATCGTGGGGAAGCGTGTGTTCCCGAGAGCTTCTTTGATCGCGTAACGCAAGGGTTACGCGGCGATCTCGAACATGAGCAGGACAGGCGTCTCCAAATGGCGGACACTGTCTTGAAGCATCGAGCTGAGTTTGCCTTTGCTCAGCTTGATAACGAGAGATCTCTGACATCTCTTCGTGACGAGCTAAGGGTAGCTCGTGGGATTGTTGACCGGTCTTGGGCTGAGATAACTGCTCTTCAGACCCTTGTCGATGCCCACCATCGGGAGCACAAGGCTCTCTGTGAGATGCTTGAGCGCAAGGGCGTTCTTCATCGGAAGAAGCAGCGTACTGATGGTACGGCTTAAGCCGACCAACGTAAAACGTGGGATGCGTTCGCATCTTACGTAGCAGTTCGATCGTGTATGCATTGCCTAGGCGATGCAATACACGAAATGGACCGATGTACTTGGGTAGTAGTTTACTGCTACCCAAGTTAGTCACTACATGCTTTGGTAGGTTAACCGTAGACAGTAGGACTAAGTCACCTTAATTAAATAAAAGAGCGTTTGCCCTTCCATTCTTGTCAGCGTTTTTCTTTTGCTTATCCACCGCTTCGGCGATGGAGTCTTGCACAAAACGGACTACCGTTTCACGAGCCAGTATGAACTCATCTGATGACTCGTTAGCTTCAGTGCGCTGTGAGTGCACTGCAGCAGCATCAACATTTTCTTCAGTGAGGGCTTCCGCACTCTCACTGACATCATCTTCTTCAGTGAGGGCTTCCGCACTCTCACTGGCATCATCTTCTTCGATATCGATGTGATCGATATCGGCATCAAACGCAATGAACTCTTCGTCAGAGCGTGATGAGCGTGAACCAAATCGGTTTTTGCTCGCTCGAGTCCCTCCCCCCCTTAAACAGAGTTACACTCTAGTAAGATGGGTACACGCGGATGGCGCAAGCCATTCACGTAAAACGGTGTATGTGTCGTGGACGCATGCACCGAGTTGTCAATTGCAAACTCTACCATTGGCAAGAACTCACTCCAACTCTTAAAGGAGTGAACGCATCCTCGAAGTATCTCTTCGATGACACGATTGGCTCGTTCCGTCTGACCATCTGACTCTGGATGATCAGATGTCGACATCTTCAAGAGAGTTCCGAGTGATTTGAACACGGAACGCCAGAAATCAGCAGTGAATCGTGGATCTCTGTCTGATACGAGTTCACGGGGCAACCCATGAAGTCGGAAGATGGTGTCAATAAAGACACAAGCACAGCCACTTGCCGTGATTGATTCTGGTACAGCCACTAGGTGTACCATTTGGCTGAATCTGTCAACAAGTACGAGAATACCCGTATTCCCGCGTGCGTCTTTGGGTAACCCGAAGACGAAATCCATTGAGATATATTCCCAGCACTCATCCGGAACCGGTAGAGGCTGTAGAGGTGCACGCAGTGAAGGACTTGACTTCACTCGTTGACAGACTTCGCATGCGCAAACCTACTTGCGCACAAAATGATACTGGCGGGGCCAGTAAAAGTCTCGACTCACCGTGAGATAGGTTTTCTCACGGCCACGATGTCCTCCTATAGGAGCATCGTGATACTCGATCATGATCCGCAAACGCAGATCAGTATCATCTGGGATGACAACACGTGGCGTGTCACCAGTAACGGCTGTATAATACAGTAAACCGTTGCGAGTAGTGTATCGATCTATTGCAGATCGATACGCAGACGACAATCGTTTCAACGATTCTCGAGATGGCTGTGAGAGATGTGTCAACAACTTCACAATCTCACCATCTTGGTCGTATGCCCGCATCACATCATCATTCAACGTTGAAGATGGGACTGAGGACGGCATAACCGCAACAGTGACTGTCTCACTGTTGGGTTTCACGACTGGTTCAAAGTCGGGACGACGTGAGAGTGCATCAGCGACGACATTGAGTCATCCTGGTTTGTACTCGACCGTAAAGTTGTATTCTGCAAAGAATGACAACCACCGCGCCATTTGTTGTGAAAGGTGCGGGCTGTTCACTGCCGTGCGTAATGACGCATGGTCAGTGTAAACAATGAAGGGTCTATCTCCTAAGAGATAGACTCTGAACTTCGCGAGTGCATACTTCATGGCAAGGCGTTCCTTGTCGTGCACTGGATAGTTCTACTCAACTGGTTGCAGCTGACGCGGCTGATAGCAGACGACGCGTTGAACGCCTTCAAGATCGTACTGCATTAATGCACAGCCGATTGCAAAATCGCTGGCATCACAGACCACATGAAATGGCCTGTCCTGATCGGCAATTGCTAGGACTGGTGATTGTATCAAGCTCTGCTTGATGCCATCAAAGGAGCGCTGACATTCAGCGTTCCATAACCACCTCTCGTTCTTTTTCAACAAACGAGAGAGGTGCACAGTCATCTCGGCGTAATTGCGTGAATACTTGTGCAAATACGCCGCTAGCCCAAGGAATTTTCGAAGACCTTTGACATCAACCAGCACAGCCAGTCGGTGATCGCCTTGATCTTTTCGGGATCAGGACGTACACCGTTCTTACCAACGATGCACCCAAGAAGTGGTATTTCGCTTGCTGCAAAGATACACTTCTTGAGATTTGCATACAATTGATGCTTTCGCATGATTGTAAGAACCTGTCGGACGTGGTACCTGTGAACCTCAACGTCCGACTTTCCATCCATAGCCCGACTATGGATGAATACGTCATCGAAATAACTCGGCGCGAATTCTCGTACTGGTCTCAACAGATGTAATACACATCTGTTGAACGTGGCAGGGGCATTACTAAGCCCTTGTGGCATTACTAGCCATTCCCAGAGCATGCCGCTAGGCGTGCTAACTGCGGTATAGGGTATATCCCGTTCTCGCATAAGGATTTGATAGAAGCCATCCATCAAATTCATGGACGAAAAGATGGTACTCTTTGACATGCCAATAATGATTACATCCTTCCTTGGTATCGGCGTCTGAGCCGGTACCGTTGCAGCATTCAACTTGTTAAATGCATGCACTATCCGCCACCCTCCTGTTGCTTTTCGCACACAGAAGGTCGGAGATCTATGTAGGGAAGTTGACTCCCTCACATGGCCTGCAGCTACACGATCGGCAAGGAACTTGTCGATCGCAAGTACTTGTTCACGAGGCAGTGGCCACTGCTTCATGACACAGTACTTCGAGCTTGGTATAATCCCGACCTCGTGTCGAGTACCTTTATCCTTCGGTGACTCGCACGGAACGGTTTCAGGGAATACATCCTTGAATTCAACCAAATCTTCATAGAGAGGATTTGTCTTGAGCGATTACCACGATTGGGAGCCATATCGCTCAACTCGTGTCTTTTCATCCAGGACGCTCTCGTCCATCAATGAACTACTGAGAACTCTTTCGTTCTCAGTAAACACTGTTGCTGACCTTATGTCGGTTACACACTCGTCGTCAGCGACGAGTACGCAGATCCGCTTGACTTTGCCACTACACAGATCACGCAAGAACCTTTTATGTTCGAGCGTTGGCAACTGAGTAATCTCCGAAGTCAACCTCGGAGGCGCAATCAGATCAAGTGTATAAGCGCGTACACTTGATCCATCATTGACTAGGACATTCAATGTCTGTCACTTCCTGGGGACTCATTCCCTCAGGCCTCGAAGGACTTATTCCTTCGGCTTCCCGGGGACTTATTCCCTCGGGTTTTGGGGAACTTATTTCCACCGTATCTGTAATATTGGGACTTATTCCCTTAACTTCCTCTAGCTGGGGTTGCGCAACCACAGCAAGATCCTCTACGAAAGACTCTCCAGTCGATCAAGGATTATCGTTTCGCTTAACCTGAGCGATCGATTGTTTCTCTTCCAGATGTCCCCCGCTAGGGACACATCTTTGTCCCGGTCCACTCGACTTATTCGAGTGGTGGACCTTCGGCGCAGCCTGTGTTTCCTCACAGCCGCCGTAAGCTTGCTCCGAAGTGTAACCGTTTGTTACACTAAGGTTTCGTGCAGTCGTACTAACGACCGTACCACAAGTGAGGCCATCGCACTCACTCGTAGTACATCCACACGCTTGTGGACGCTCCAAAACGTTCATTAGATGGCCATCTGATAAACAAGCGGCAGGCATCGTTACTGTTCGATGTTGCCAGTTTACCCGTGGTTCGTACCTACTGAGCCACGGTATTCCAAGGATGACATCAAATTTGTCATCCAAATCCAATACGATAAAGTCATCGTCATATTGGGTATCTTCTAGCGTATAGTGGATTTTCACTATACGCTTCATGACGGTTACGGATGCGCCTGTCGCAAGACGTGCCGTCATCCTCGTAGGAGGTGTGTCACATTTGCTGAACTTAAAGTGACCATCTTGTAGCGATTGGCGTCGCACAAAATTGTTGGACGCCCCACAATCGACTAGAGCTCGAAGGGACAACTTATTCGTCACTTCGAGTTTCAAGGTAATGAGTGAGACCTCATTACCTAGAGCAGCAACGCACAACGTTTGTGTGTTGGGAGCAACCTTCATCAAGAGGCCTACAAATCCTCTTGACGTTGCTGGACCAGTAGGTTGCTCCGCACCTACTGATCCTGTCCGTTTTTTGACGGTCCATTCCGTTGTTGCGTCTTTGCACCAACAGCGGACCCGCGTCCCTGCCCCTTTCTCATGGGTGGACGGTCCTACGCCCAGTGTTGCGAGACACTGGACGAGGGGCACTACACTCGTAAGCGTAGTGTCCTGTCTTTTGACATCTGTTGCTTTTCTGCAACTTCTTGTAGCCTGTAGATCGAGCCTTCTCGCTCTCTACATAACAGAGTTCCATCGGCTCTGGACCTCCGCTGTCATATCGTCTTGGTGTACGATATGATGTCGAGCTGGCGCGAGCCTGTCTCAGACTGAACTCTTCCTGTTCCGCAATGGAAATGGCTTGTTCTAGTGAATCCAGTTCAAGTCGGAACAGGTGAGTCTTGACGGGGCAATCTGCAAGACCCTGCATGAACACCGAAACCAACGTGTGTTCATCCACCGGGTTGAAACTTATACAACTCGTGAGATGTCGTATATGTTGTGCGTAAGCGTGCACATCACGCTTACCCTGCTCGAGCTTCAAGAGTTCGGTCCAAGCTCTGAACTCAGCTCTAGGCGGTTCAAACGTTTGTCTGAGCCGCGACTTGAAGACTTCCAACGACCCAAACGCATATGGGTCATGCAACTTGAGCCCCAAAGCTCAAGTCTTGGCACGTCCTGCCAGATTTGACTGGGCGAATGCAACTTGCATATCCCCGTCGTCGATGCGACGCGCCCTTGTGGCGTCGTCTAATTCGACGAACCATCTCAAGAGGGAGTCCTCTTCGACTCCCCTATACTTAAAGATGTCAATTTTCAAGGTTTCGGGTCGACGCGAGTGCATCGACCCACCAGCAGCAGCCTGCTGCTGTCTCAACAGTCCAAACTTTTGATCACCCTGTTCTCTCAACAACTCTGCTTGTTGAGAACCTTGTTGGTGAAGCAAGGCTACTTTCTCGCGTTCTGCGTCAAGTTCATTTTGAATGAACTTAGCGATAGTAGCATGTTGGGCATCTCTATTGAGAGCCTCTAGCATGACGCTAACAGCATGGATGCCCATGGTTGAACCCATCCGTTCAACCGCATCCCATTCGACATCGCTCAAATGGGAGTAGCCGTCACGCGTAGCGTGAAAGCTTTGGTCATCATCATCATCTAACGTAGTCATGTTAGATGTGAACGTGGTCCTTGGACGGACTACGAAGTGCTACCAGGTGTAACGGGGCACCCTGAAGCTTGTACTGGTAACAGTACAAGCTACTTATTCTGATGACAGAATAAGGCGGTGCCTCCGAACTTTACGTAAAATCGTACGTGCAGAGGAAGAAGGTAAGAAGAAGCGAGTACTTTATTAAAGTAAAAAGTAGAACTGTATTTATAATAGTTAATGTCTGTCAATAAATCACTGTTTATCCTCATCTAACTATGTCTGAATACAAATGTGTACATCAACTATATGCTCACCACTCATTGCGTGCGTCTGCCGTGGCGTGTCTTCGTTGGTTATTACAATGGCCTATATCAACCGATTAGGAACTTCTCGTAAGTGCTACAGAATATTTGTCCTTATGACAATATTCTGAGAATTTAACTCTAAAAGTTATATTCTATTAACAATTTCTTATAAATTGTTATGTAGCGGGTCACCCCGTTACACACATCGCAACACAACATGTCTGACCCTCTTTACTCACTACCTCACCACACCTAACGCTCTAAGTATAAAAATTATTGTGATCTCACCTTTATTCGGACTAGCTTCCTTACTAGTCTCGCATTTCAGTTGTAAGTTAAAGACACACGCGGCTGAAATTGCGTGAGCTATAAAAATTGGCATCTAATAGCAAGAGGTGGCTGATGATAAGATATGAATGAGGAAAAATCTGCGCTTAGCACTCTTGCCGAGGATTTGATACTGGCTATTTTACCTTTTGTTTGACCCACTAAAAAACTATGTACTGTAGAAATGTCTGACCCACCTTTACTAACACTGTCAGTAAGTCTCCAGAAGCTACATAGAGTGCCTTTATCGCACATGGTCGTATCCAATGGTATGCAACGCAGCGTTAGATTGAAACTGTAAGAGTGCATTATAGAATGCGCAGATTGAAACTGTAACGGGGTAGCCCGATACATGAAATTGACACCAAATGGTGTCAATAAGAATACTGTCTAGCATGACAATATTCTACTAATATAATACGAGATGGATAACATTCAAGGAATATTATCCCCTTTTGGATAATATTCATGCGCTGATCCAAGATGCTTGATACAAGACATACAGACCATAGATTGCCACCAATCGCTGCTAGACGCGCGCAATCAGTGGTGAGCAGCTTGTCGTCATACGACGGCGTGGTTTAATTTAGTTTTATTAAGAATAAAGTTATATTGATATTTTAACTACACTAAATACAGTTCTCCTTTTACCCTTTACTTAACATTTGTTGAGTAGATTAGCTTCCTCTGCACGTACTAGTGTAGGTGAAGTTTCTTGGCACCCCAAACAAAGGGTGCCCCGTTACACCTGGTAGCACTTTGTAGTCCGTCCAACGACTGCTTAGTGTCCGTCCAACATGAACGTGTTGGACGTAGAAGACGACAGCTTTCACGTCACACATGAAGGCTACTCTCATCTGACTGACTCAGAGTGGGAGGTAGTCGGTCGCATGAGTGTACTCATGGAAGAACCCGCCATCAGTGGCATGTTGGAGTCTCTAAGCAGAGACCAGCAACATGCTGCTATCAACAAGTTCCTACAAGGGTAACTTGACGTCGAACGACAGAAGATAGCCTTGTTACAGTAGCAAGGCTCTCATCAGTCGATGGGCGGGCCGACGCACATGCGTCGATCCGAAACCTTGAAGATTGATATATCAAGGTACAAGGGAACCGATGAAGATTCTTGGACCTTAGGGCTCAAGCTTCACGACCCAAACGTGTTTGAGTCGTCGGATATCGTGAAGTCTCGACTTAAAGAGACGTTTGAGCTGCCGAGAGCCGAGTTCAGAGCACGCTCTGCACTCTTGAGGCTAAAGCGAGGTAAGCGTGACATGCACGCTTACGCACAGCACCTACGCTACCTTGCGAGTAGCGTTGCTGAGAACCCTGTTGATGAGCACACACTCATCAACGTGTTCATCTACGGCCTTGTGAATAGGCCGGTGAAGACCTACATGTTACGAGAGGACTTCCATACGCTGTAAAAGGCGATAGTGTATGCGGAACAAGAAGACTTCAGCCTGAGACGGTCTCAGGCTAGCTCGTCAAAATATCGTCCGACGAGACATCAGGAAACAGGAGGTTCCGAACTAATGGACCTCTGTTACATCGACACATCTTTGTCCCGGTCCACTCGACTTATTCGAGTGGTGGACCTTCGGCGCAGCCTGTGTGTCCTCACAGCCGCCGGAACTTTGCTCTGAAGTGTAACTGTTTGGAACACTAAGGTTTTGTGCAGTCTTACTAACGACCGTACCACAAGTGAGGCCATCGCACTCACTCGTAGTACATCCACACGCTTGTGGACGCTCCATAACGTTCATCAGATGGCCATCTGATGAACAAGCGGCAGGCATCGTTACTGTTCGATGTTGCCAGTTAACCCGTGGTTCGTACCTACTGAGCCACGGTATTCCAAGGATGACATCAAATTTGTCATCCAAATCCAGTACGATAAAGTCATCGTCATTTTGGGTATCTTCTAGCGTGTAGTGAATCTTCACTATACGCTTCATGACGCTTACGGATGCGCCTGTCGCAAGACGTTCCGTCATCCTCGTAGGAGGTGTGTCACATTCGCTGAACTTAAAGTGACCATCTTGTAGCGATTGGCGTCGCACAAAATTGTTGGACGCCCCACAATCGACTAGAGCTCGAAGGGACAACTTATTTGTCACTTCGAGTTTCAAGGTAATGAGTGAGATCTCATTACCTAGATCAGCAACGCACAACGTTTGTGTGTTGGAAGCAACCTTCATCAAGAGGCCTACAAATTCTCTTGACGTTGCTGGACCAGTAAAGTGCTCCGCACCTACTAATCCTGTCCGTTTTTGACGGTCCATTCCGTTGTTGCGTCTTTGCACCAACAGCGGACCCGCGTCCCTGCCCCTTTCTCATGGGTGGACGGTCCTACGCCCAGTGTTGCGAGACACTGGACGAGGGGCACTACACTCGTAAGCGTAGTGTCCTGTCTTTTGACATCTGTTGCTTTTCTGCAACTTCTTGTAGCCTGTAGAGCGAGCCTTCTCGCTCTCTACATAACAGAGTTCCATCGGCTCTGGACCTCCGCTGTCATATCGTCTTGGTGTACGATATGATGTCGAGCTGGCGCGAGCCTGTCTCAGAATGAATTCTTCCTGTTCCGCAATGGAAATGGCTTGTTCTAGTGAATCCAGTTCAAGTCGGAACAGGTGAGTCTTGACGAGACCATCCGCAAGACCCTGCATGAACACCGAAACCAACGTGTGTTCATCCACCGGGTTGGAACTTATACAACTCGTGAGATGTCGTATATGTTGCGCGTAAGCGTGCACATCTCGCTTACTCTGTTTGAGCTTCAAGAGTTCGGTTCGAGCTCTGAACTCAGCTCTAGGCGGTTCAAACGTTTGTCTGAGCCGCGACTTGAAGACTTCTGACGACCCAAATGCATATGGGTCGTGCAACTTGAGCCCCAGTGCCCAAGTCTTGGCACGTCCTGCCAGATTTGACTGGGCAAATGCAACTTGCATATCCCCGTCGTCGATGCGACGCGCCCTTGTGGCGTCGTCTAATTCGACGAACATCTCAAGAGGGAGTCCTCTTCGACTTCCCTATACTTGGAGATGTCAATCTTCAAAGTCTCGGGTCGACGCGAGTGCATCGACCCACCAGCAGCAGCCTGCTGCTGTCTCAACAGTCCAAACTTTTGATCACCCTGTTCTCTCAACAACTCTGCTTGTTGAGAACCTTGTTGGTGAAGCAAGGCTACTTTCTCGCGTTCTGCGTCAAGTTCATTTTGAATGAACTTGGCGATAGTAGCATGTTGGGCATCTCTATTGAGAGCCTCTAGCATGACGCTAACAGCATGGATGCCCATGGTTGAACCCATTCGTTCAACCGCATCCCATTCGACATCGCTCAGATGGCAGTAGCCGTTACGCGTAGCGTGAAAGCTTTGGTCATCATCATCATCTAACGTAGTCATGTTAGATGTGAACGTGGTCCTTGGACGGACTACGAAGTGCTACCAGGTGTAACGGGGCACCCTGAAGCTTGTACTGGTAACAGTACAAGCTACTTATTCTGATGACAGAATAAGGCGGTGCCTCGGAGCTTCACGTACACTGGTACGTGCAGAGGAAGACGGTAAGAAGAAGCAAGTACTTGGTTAGAGTAAAAAGTAGAACTGTATTTATCATAGTCAATGTCTGTTAATAAACCACTGTTTATCCTCATCTAACTATGTCTAAATACAATTGTGTAAATCAACTATCTGCTCACCACTCATTGCGTGCGTCTGTCGTGGCGCGTCTTCGTTGGTTGATACAATGGCCTAGATCAACCAATTAGGAACTACTCGTAAGTGCTGTAGAATGTTGTCCTTATGACAATGTTCTGAGAATTTAACTCTAAAAGTTATATTCTATTAACAATTTCTTATAAATTGTTATGTAGCGGGTCACCCCGTTACACACATCGCAACACAACATGTCTGACCCTCTTTACTCACTACCTCACCACACCTAACGCTCTAAGTATAAAAATTATTGTGATCTCACCTTTATTCGGACTAGCTTCCTTACTAGTCTCGCATTTCAGTTGTAAGTTAAAGACACACGCGGCTGAAATTGCGTGAGCTATAAAAATTGGCATCTAATAGCAAGAGGTGGCTGATGATAAGATATGAATGAGGAAAAATCTGCGCTTAGCACTCTTGCCGAGGATTTGATACTGGCTATTTTACCTTTTGTTTGACCCACTAAAAAACTATGTACTGTAGAAATGTCTGACCCACCTTTACTAACACTGTCAGTAAGTCTCCAGAAGCTACATAGAGTGCCTTTATCGCACATGGTCGTATCCAATGGTATGCAACGCAGCGTTAGATTGAAACTGTAAGAGTGCATTATAGAATGCGCAGATTGAAACTGTAACGGGGTAGCCCGATACATGAAATTGACACCA